TTTGTACACCAACCTGCTGTTGAATGTTTTCAGCGTTTAATGGAACTCCTTCCGATGATTCTTCTTTATCTTCCACTTTTTGGATATGACCAAAATTTTGATGATTTTGAATAACATGATGGGCCTGAATGTTCTGAAATTGTTGAGGATTTAATTCGGATGGACTAGATAGATTTCGTGCTCTTAATTCCTCCATAAACTTGGCTTCCTGGGCATATCGTTTTTGAAGTTCCTGCTGCCAACCACCCTCCGATTCTTCTTCTCCATCGTCTTCGAAATCTATTCGCATTATAATTAATAGACAACTTATTGTATGGTACCAAATATTTGATGGATCTTATGTTTTTATAAATAGTTAAAAGTTTCAATCGTTATTTTGGTACAATAAATAATTTTTAATATTAATAACAATCCACTACAAGCAATATTTGAAATAATTTTTAAGCACCACACGTGTGCTGTTTTAATAATTTTCTACCTGGTGCTTTCAGAAAGAAAAAGAAGAGGTAAAATTGACAATACTGTTATTTTATAAAACTTACCTCATAAAATGTACAAGTATCCTTTATTTTACAACATTATGAATACTGAATTTTAAAAGCAATACAAATAACAGTTTTTTTTCCAATTAAGCTGATAAGAATTATCCAGCGATAAAAAGCAATAATACTACAATTATTAATAGCAAAACAATTAATAGCCCTTTTTCTCCTGTTTTTTAAAATAATATTTAACGTGGTTTCTGAGATGTTTATCCTAAACTGAGTCTCATTATTATTATTAAATAAAGAGTTGACTTGTAAATTTGTTATAAAATTTCCATATAAAGCAAAGCACTGTTAAATCTTTAAACTTACCCAGTGGTTTTCGAATACCACTACTATGTATTTGTAGTGAAGTTTCTGCAAAAACAAATGTTCAACAGGCAGCATTCCACATACAGTTACCTAAACTAAACTAGCATTTTCATACTGTCGATATCTGCAAATGAGTGGTGTAAGTTTGTTCAGTGAATAAGTGTTAAAATTAAAAGGAAATAAAGGAAAAAATGAAAATAAAATCAAAATAAACAAACTAAATATATTTTCAAAAAAAAAAAAAAAGAAATAGAAAAATGCAAAACAATATAAACAAAAATTTAACTTTATAATATGCAGACTTAACTATTTTATAGCACAGTCACAACAACAAATTCAACAACAAAGTATATTTTAATTAAGTTACAAATGGTAAAATTAGACACGGAAGTAAATAAATATTTGTTAAAATTACCATTTGAGCTTAATTTAAATGCAGAATTAAGACAATTAAGTATCTTAACCAGATCAAATTAAAAAAAACAAATAAATTAGCACATAATAAAAAAGAATGGACAAAAGTTGCGGTGTTTCCAATAAAAGGTCAAAGACGGAATGTAAAAAATTGCGTAAACACCATAAAAATATGCAAATATACGTTTTCTGTAATACATATTAAATTCTTCTCTCTTTAAATTACGTAGTAGTTGCGGAAGTACTTTAAAGCAATTGAATTATATTTTTTTTGTAATCCCTAAACAACTATCATAAATAAAAAAAAATTAATATAGGAACAAATATTCAATATAAAACTCATGGAAGTAGTGAGTTTACTGGTTTTATATGTCTACATTTACACTATGGAGATGTACGAGGAACGGACACTAAATCAAATCACTAATCTCCCAACATATTATCGACACAATACCTAACAAATTACAGTTTGGATGAAATTAAGTTTTCTTTTGTGAATTAAACAAGAAAGGGAATGATAAGCAAAGATGTGTAGTTTTTTTATGACAACGCGTCTACTCACAAGAGTTATGTTACGTTTACTGAGGCTGGTAAGATTAGCTTCCAAATTATGAACTATCCTTCCATTAGCCCAGATCTGGCTTCCAGTGATTCTTACTTATTCCCAAACATGAAAACCTAACTGCGTGGAACGCAACCTGTTAATTATTTGCGATTTATGTTTACTTTCAAGGATAAAAATTAAATTTTTTTTTTTTTGAAAATATAAACAATTTAATCAAAATGTGATGAAAAGTGCATAAGAGTTAAGAGAGGAAACACATATTGAGAAAAAGAAGTAACACCGTATTCAATTTCAGCGCCCTTTTCTCCCATTTCGCGAATTTAGCGTCCACCCTCGTATATTATGATTATGAGTAATTAATTTGGAAGTATAAACTATCCATTTATTGTGTCATTAATGTAGGCTAAATATATTACATAGACACTTCTACTGGTAAAATAATATTGAATAATAATTAATGCTACAACCTCATGCCACATATAACCATAAAAAGTACATTTCAGTCTAGTCGAACATCACATTTTAATTTATATTTTCCAGTCAACTGAAGAATGTTCACAAATTTGCATACAGGACAACTTATATTATTAATACCAGAATAAAACATTTTAATTAAAAAAGGTCAAAATATTAGTTTTAATTTGAACATATACATACAATAGTATGTTTTATGAAATTCTTCAGTGTCAGATCGATTTTGTAGTATTAAAAAAAAAATATTAAAATTAGAGAGAGAAGAGGCGAAGAGAATTAGAATATAAACAACTACCTTTCATAAAGCTTCCTTATGCATTTCAAAGAAGGTATTCATAATGAGAATGAGTTAAGAATATCACAACCCTTCTAACTTTCAAATATACATAAGTCACATCAATTTAAGGTTTCAATAAAGTCTCTTTATATAAGATTATTATGTATTATTTCTATTAATTCAAACTAATTATTTTTTCTCATTATGAACAAAGTCAATACAATTACTTTCACGCTTCTTGTAAAATGATAAGTAATAATATGAATTCTAGCAATAAATAAAGTAAGTTAATCATTCTCCATACCTGAATTAAGTTCTCTAACTAACGTAGACATTGCATTGGTAACTGAATCCGCCGCCACTAGGAGATCGTTCCGTAAAGATCTTCCAACAGAACTAGGCGTATTGGTGCCATTATTTGAGTTACCTTTAAACAAACACAAGTGTATATTTCTGTTGGCGACTTTGTTTACACAGAATTCGTATCTTTTTTACAATGGCATTTATGAAAATCGACACATTCGTAAACTTTAACCTTTCTCCTATTAGTGATTAAATTTTGAAAAATCTCTCCCTACTAGTTATATAAGGAAAAGTTTTTTTTTTAATTTCGCACTTCCAAGATCAGTAGTTGAATCAGGGCATTCATATAAAAATCAGTTAGTCAGTGTTTGTTTTATATGTGTACATATTATCAATCTTTTAATCGAAAATAGAATTATATCAAATAAGCTTACCAAATGCGTTTCTTACGTCACCAACCCCAACTACGTTATCGCTATTAACGTTGTGAGCGCTACGTTCTTGTTTTTCCACGGGAACGTTGTTCACGGGTGGGGGCAAGACGGGCACAGTTTGAACCACGTGAACTCGCTCACTTTGACTCACAGACATGGACTGAACGGTGGGTGGAGTCACACTCATTGGTGTTTGAGGAGCACTTCTTACCCCCGGTTGTGCCGTAGCAATCATGTTACTCTGAGGTAAGGGCGGAGACTTAGTGCTCCGCGGAGACGAATTGGGTGTGCTTCTAGGTGACGACTGATGATTCTAGCATCAAACAGGAAACGTGAAAAATAACTGACAAATACTAAAAACGATGGCAAATACTTTAACTAAGAAGAAATAAAGATTGTTTTTTTTTTTACCTTTAACATCTTCATAAGTCCCTCCAGTTGGATCATCAGCTGCCTACGAGAATCCTGCAAAGTTGTCAAGTGGGCTTCCAGTTCATCTTTCCTCATCCTTAAGGCTCTTAATTCTGTCATGAGAGCAGGATTTTCAGGGCCATGGCCACTACACTCTAACTCCTGCTGTCTTCTACGGTTTTAGAGAATACACATTGTATTAACAATATTCTTTAAAAATACAAACGCTAAACCAAGTACTATTCAAATTTGGGGAAACACCGTTTTGATAACATTGAAATAAAGCAAGTACAGCGATTTCTAAATTTCCTTTAATCTATTTATTTATTTTGACAAATACTTTTAAAAAAAGAATCATTAAAATATANTTTTAATAACATTCTTCATTAAATAATATCGTACAAAATTGCACATAATGAAATTAAACTATAAACTTAAAATCATTAATAAATGCACAACGATACCCAAGAAAATAATATTTCTTACCTTGTTTAACGGATATCGTTGTCTAAATTTTAAATATAACATTAATTGTTATTAATTATTATTGAATCTTAAAGTTCCATAACATTATTAACAACAGTTTTCTAAACGCCATCTTCCTAAACTGTCAAAATTCGTCAAAGCTGTCATGTGTCATGAAACTAAGTTACCGTAGATGTGCAGATTCACCGGAAAGATAGTAATCTCAACAACAGTGGCGTAGGTATCTGTCGGTAATAGAAAAAAAGCTGTCAAATTACGATATTTTGTAAGGACGTACTCTTACTTTTTTATATTTTGTGAGACTAGTGTAAGATTAATAATGTTCAATTAAGGCAACTATTTTACATACATTATAATAAATATTCTACTATCCAAACTATAAATTTAAATGACATGTTACAAAATTTGAATCAACAAATTTCGGTTCTACTTCACCTTCTGGCGGTAGTCCTGCTATCTAAACTGCCCATACCATCAAATGTATTAAAGGTGCTATCAGGAAATCCATTGTGGGAAGGTATAGGAGACGGCGGTCTTTAAAAACAGATAGTAACAAATATGTAGAATAAAAAGTCTGTATTGTACTGTATTTGATCTAACTAAATCAAACAACAAAGAAATGCAACTCACACTATATGAGACAAGTTTAATGTCTTTTCTGGCTGCTCTGGAAATCTTGGCAAGTTATTTTTTTGTTTATCAGGAACACATCGAAACGATTTTCGCAGGGAATGACTAATAGTTCTTGTGGGAGACTGAAAGAAAATATATAAATGTAAACATTAACTTCTGTATATGTAAAAGAATTACAAAAGTGACATATTCTTTCATCTGATGTTCTAAAGTGTGAGGTGAGGTCACCCGACCTCTCCAAAAACATTCCTGGCAGAGAGTGTAATGAGGACATTTCTGACAACGATATCTAAATCCTGTAAAGTTTTCTCTTTGACATGCATCACATTGAACGGGATGGACAACTGGAAAAATAGAACACATAATTAAATATTTCTAATTAGGAAAATAGAAAAAAAATACCGTTTTCGACGGAAGTAATTCGATGAAGTAAAGGAAGCCACACTAATGCTGGAGGTCCAACATCTGACATCATTGTGTCCAAAAAATCGTTAACTGTAACTTTGGCGTTCTGAAAGTTAGTATCAATCAATCAAATTTTATTGGTGTTTGTGTACTAGCAACACTTACTAGATAAGTCAAATAACCAAATTACTATTTAAAATTTACAGATAAATACTTTAAAACATATGCTTTTTATTTGTAAGTCTCGAATTTATGTAGAAATTTTGATTGAAAATTAATACTCACAGTATTAAAAATTGAGGAGGCTAAAGTATCTGTATAACTAAACGTTGGAGATTCATATACTGCTGCTGGAAGAGCTAAAACCTCTTCTAAGTATTCATTAAATTTCCACATAATAAGTAAACCATTGCTATCAGATATTTGTGAAAATATATCTAGAATGGAAAATTAAACATAAGCAAAAGCTATAATAAGATAGGTAT